TTTATTTTTTTTTTTTTTTCAACATTGCTCGAAAAAATGATTGTAAACAAAAATAAACCTTCAACTTGATATGCGTCCAGGGATATATGTTGAAGGTGCCTCACACACACACGCTCACACACACACGCTCACACACACACGTACACAGATAACATAATCTCTTGGAGGGGGCAGGGCGAGGGCGGTTGGACGAAGACTAGCAACTGCTTCTGATGATATGAACGCTCGGTAAATTTGTTTCCTCTCAACTTTTCGATTTACCTTTTGTTAATTAGTGCTGCCCATTGCTAGCTCTCCGCTCTCCGCTCTCCGCTCTCTAGCCGTCTTCCCCTTCGCGCCCTCTCCCTACTTCCTCTTGATGTGCTCGAATATAGGTCACCAGCAAACATAAATAGCGCCCTACACATGTGCTACACTGCGCAACATATTCGGTGACTTGACTGTCTGATCTTGTTTATGCTTATTAAAGAACTGAGACCAAAGGAAAAGAATATTGACTTTGTACAATAACCAAGTTGTTGTCCGTTTGGCCATTTGTCCGGTTGTCCATATTATAATACGGAATACATATATTCCTGGGCATTTTCGATTGTTTAAGTGCTATAGACTTTCTTAGTGTTACCCACAGATCGGTAAATACTAATAAATCTGTCATATCTGAGCATGAGAATCGCATAGTGAGGCTCGCTAATGTCCGTTTTTTTGTTATATAAAAACAAATCTTGTGCAAATGGCGCCATTCATGGGATCTCACTAAAAGATTCCCTCATACATTATTTACTTCAATTCGTAGTAAACACTCTAAATAATAATCCTCTTCCATATATGTAAAACTTTTTGTCCAGTTCTATATATCAGTTCTGATAATTTGTATAGTTTCCTGAATGCAAAACCAGCAGAACATTTAGATATTTTAATAAATATATAATAATACATAGATATAATATTTGAATAAACAAAAAATGTCGTGTCTCACTTTAGCATTATTTTTCATCCTTATCTATTTCTGCAAAATTTTATTGATATGCATTCGAAAAATTATATGGGAAGAGTCAATGAAATAATCATTTAATTTGACTACAATTATAGTAGAGAATTTTACAGTTTTGATTAAGTACTTTGCCGTTTATTTCTCGCAGTGTAGCAGTGAGTCTTGACGTTGCTTTGAGGTGTTTTTCGTTTCGCTTCCAGATAAGTCGCCGTATGCAAGAGACGCGCACCTTTCAGGCCACCCACTCACACACACACACACACACGCAAACACTCTCGCACACACACACATTGACAATTTCAAGTTCTTGGCCCAGCGCCCGTCGCCTGTCAATGAGACTGATGGAGACGAAGATGATGTGCGCTGCTTGGCCAGTGGATGGGGGATTGGGGGAATCGATCTCTATAGATCAAGACTGTTGTTGTTGTTGCTGCTGCTGTCATTTAGTGTGCCGACTGTCGACGCAACTGTCAAAATTGACCTAAAAATGAAGAAAAGTCGTATTCGAATTCGAATTCGAATTGGTATTCGAAATTGAAAAAGCGCAACAGCCACTGCAACAACAACGAGCACTCTGGCATAGGGTAACTTGATAGCTGTTCGCCCTATAGTGGTGCACCGCCACCCTCCCTCATAGCCCCCGCAACTGTCATCTAGAAATCGGAGATTAGAATATGGAGCAAGTCGACAAGTAAAATGGTCAAACGAATTCGTATCGAAGCAATTATTTCAAAGCGCTCGCCAGAGCATTCAAAGCAACAATTTAAGGTTCTTATGCAATCGGAAAAGTTGGCACTGGATAGATCCGAGCAGTGCACTGCAAAATATATATATATATGAATATAAATATATGCTATTTCAATTAATTATTTAAAAGTATTTATTTCTTTATTTTTATTTTTTAAATT